GGCTACCCGCTGGCCCCCTTCCCGGCCGGCGCCCTGCCGTTCCTGCGCTCGCAGATGACCGGGCTGGTCTGATCCGGCGCCCCTCCCCGGCCCCTGGGTGGGGAGAGAGGAGAGACGGGACGGGACGGGACGGGACAGGACGGCCCTCTTTGCCAGCCGGTCCCGGGGCCTCCGCCGCCGCCTCCGCCGCGCACAGAGGCGCGCCCAGGGAAGGAGGGGAGACCGGCCGCCTTTGGAGCCCCTGGGGAGGAGGCACCGCCGCTTGTGTTCCTCTTGCCATCTTAACTACGCTGAGCAAGAAAAGAATGTATTGCCCCCCCCCCACTCTTTTTTTCTCCACAAAGTCAGGGACGCCCCTTCCCCTCCCGCCCCTGGAAAGCGGGCGGCCCCGCACCTCAAAAGGGCCACTGGAACCTCGTGACCTTCGTGGCTTCGTGGCTTGTCTTCCCGGGGGATGGGGAGGTGCCAGGTCGAAACTGGATTGACGGGATTCAAGGAAGTACTTTTCGCCCTGCGCCCTGGAGACTTCGCCTCCGGTTTCTTCTCATGGAAGGAGTGTTGCGTTGGCCGGGAGAGTGACAACGGTGGGATTAATCCGGCGGCCAAGTCATTTCTCCGTCCGGGGCTGCTGTCCGGCAAGCGAGGGGGCCTCGCCGCAGATTTCCCGTGTCGCGACGTTTTCCACGCAGATTCCGAAGGGAGATTTATTTCATATATTTCACTCTCCACCTCTCTTCTAAAAGCAAACAAGCGCACCGAAAGCATCTGCTGATCACTCCAATGAATGCCGATTCATGAAGAAATATTATTTTCTAGCCATTTATCGCAAGGCCTCCCACGGAAGCTGCCGCAAGCCGGCCTGTCTGTCCCTCGGTCCTTCTGCGAGGCCTCTCCGGGTCGCTGCCCGCCGGAAAGCCGCGGCGCCCTCTCGGTCCACAAACCCGACTTCGGTGCCGCGCTCGAGGCAGGGCTCGTTGTGCGGCCTTGGACCGCGTTTCTCTCCGTGACCTTTCCTCGGACCGAACGTTTCTGAAAGCAACACCTGGTCACCCATTGACCCTAAAACGGGGGCGGGGGGGGGCATTTTGTTCCAAGGGAGCGGGAGAAAGAAAGACCTCGAAGCGATCCGTCGGCGAACGGCCATCCCGGTCGTGACTCTGGTGCGACGCGATCACCGGGTGGACTTTCGCCTGTTTGCTCGGAGAGGTTCGCGGCGGAAGTCCTGCGAAGGGGTGCGCGGCCCTTTCAGATTTTCTAAGAGGTTTTCTAAGTTGTAATGCTTAATTTATATTCGCAATATTTCTGGCTTGACGATGAAACAGAGGCGGGGGTTGCCCCTGGCATCGGGAAGGCATCGCTGGTTTGTGGAAATCGCCTCCCCCATCTCTTAAGCGACGCGTTTTGTCCCGACGTGACCTATGCAGAGAAATGAATTAAACATCCAATAGTCTGTCTTTTGCGGGCTGGTCCTCTGCTTAGCGCGCCTAGAATACCTGGGGGGCAAAGTCGTGCTGCGCCGCTGGAAGCCGGGTTTTCCCCAAGGGCGTTCTGCGCGGCTGGAGCCCCGCCGCTGCCCCTCGCTTGAATGGGCCCGTCCCACGCGGGCTCCTTCTTCCAGGCAGGCCGTCCAAGGGAGGCCCCAGAGGCCCGGCGGCCAGGCAGCGCCCGAGCTCGGCGCGCTCGGGATGGATGTGGGCCGGCAAACGTGGAAGTCCGCGGAGGGGTCACGGGGAGGCTCCGGCGGCTTCGGTTCGGCCC